ACCGCCTTAGTGGACATCAACTTCACCGTTTGAGCTAAAACAGAATCTTAAATAAACACAAAAGCAAAACTGAGGCCAGGAAACTGCCACGGTGCGGGGCTTTTTTCGCTGCCTCCCCCGGACTACGAGGCGTGCACAGCCACAGCTATGAAGTGCGCTGCGTCCTGTAGGTGCAGCCCCGTGCCAACAGAGCTACACACACAGCAACCCATTTAAATGTAGAACACTTTAAAGACGTGCGCACCGAGCACCAACAATGACGGCACGCTACCCCGGCGCACGCGTGTGCACGTCTCGATGTGTACATCCAGTGTCGCAGTTATTAAATACCTTCAAATCCGCGTCTTGCGTCCTATTTGTTGCGACAACAGCCCGCAAAGCGATCAAGTCCCTCTCTGTATTTTTTTTTTTTTTTTTTAAAGAAAAAGATCCGGTGCAATTTTTTTTTTTTTAAAGCTGCCCTTTTTTGCTATGGATCTGACGCAGATCTCGTCTCCGCACGGCGAGGGGATCTCACAGAAATCCCTACGTTATCCACGGGCATGGTGCTGGAGGTTGTTGTTGTTGTAGCTTACAAATAGCTGCGCACTTGGCTCGGTTGAACCAACCCGAGCAGGAGGGTGACGTCTTTATTATGATCACAGCCTTTTCCTTTAGCAAGAGGAGGATTTATTACTATTCTGCGTCCTGGGAATTAAAAGTAGCGTGGAGGAGCAGCCACAGCACAGTCATTTTTTTTTCTTTTTTTTTTTTTTTAACACGCACACACAGGAACTGATGCAACTGTCCGGAGTGCTAGATCGCCATCTAAATGCGTGAGGGCAGAACAGTCTTTGGATTTTTTTTTTTTTTTTTTTAAATAGGCTGATAGTGAAAAAAAAAAAATCACACCATTCTACTCAGAGCAACCGAGAAGGTGCAAAACGCGGTTAAAGTGGAAGAAACAGTTAATACATGCAACATCACAGGAATATAAAGCCTTAGTTTGAACAAAAAATGCAAAACAACATGAAAACATCAACACGCTTATTTAGCATTAAGGTTGCACAAAAAAAAAGTCTAATAATGTAAAAAAATGGTTAGGTAATAGCTGGAAAGTGGCCTACAGTTTCCTGACATTCCAACGGACTTATTCTGTCGGATGGAAAGAACAGTGAGAGCTGCTGTTCGGCTCTCCTCCTCCAGGGAGAGCCCAACACGTTTCCTCCTGCTCTCTGGGTGCTGCTGCTGCTGCTGCTGCTGCTTTCGTTGAGCTCCTCATGTCACTGATGCCATCACGTACTCCACGTAAAATCCAACTTCACACACAAACTTCCCGATTGAAGCACGTTTTGTGGTGGGCGTTGGGTTTCCTAAAGAGCGGATGTATGGAAAAAGCGTTTACAGAAGGGCACACATGAATTCATCTATATGAAACAGATTCTTTTTTAATGCTCGGAAAGATGCAAAAAAATTTTAAAGTGAAATCTGGTTTCAAACCACACGCAAACTGATCATGCATTTGTCATATCCCACAGGTAACCCTGTTTAATTTCCTACTTAAGCCCATTAGAATGAGAGGAACTACTAATATGCTTAATAAATATGTTATATAATATTTCTTCACACATCATGATTATTTGGAATTAAGGTATATTACTATTATTCTCATTGCAGTTTGTACAGAACACTATTATTGTGTACAGCAGATTTCAGAGTTACTACCATATTACTATATTAGTATTTATTTAATTTTACTTGATTTTATTTATTTTTTTATTATGATTTCTTTTGTTGTCTTTCTTTTTTTTGGCAAAAAAAAAGTAAAATTGTACATATGGAAATCTTTGTATTGTATTCTTTTTTTCTGTTTGCTTTTTTATTTTTTGTATATTTGTTATATAGTTATTTATTTGATTTTATTTTGTGCTCCTCTGATAAAACAATTTCCCTTGAGGATCAAAAAAGTTGATCTAAGTCCAAGTCTAATTTAAATGACTTTAAACTCAGCTGACTGATGTGTCTCCATCCAGATGTATTGATGTTCTAAGTTCATTATAATATGTATTCATTTCATTTTTTTAATCAATAGATGTTTTTAATTACTTGATCCAACATTCAAGAGATTTATTTGTCCCATGGTTGTACAGTACAGGCGATGAAATGCGAAGTGACATTTCCACAAGGCTGTGCAATAACAACAAGACGTGATAAAAACATGCCTCAGAATTGGAACAAATAGTCATAAATAATGAGGAGGGAGGAGAATGTGAAACTAAAGTGCAGTCAACATTGTGCAAGAGTTGCAGTGTGGGTGTGTATGTCTTGTTAGAGCTTGTGCGTGCATCAGTAAGCATACATTACATATTTACACTGTGAAAGCACAATGTTAGTTTTGTGTTCTTTGTCTAATTTGTTAACATCTTCAGCAGTTTGGTTTATTGTGCAGTTTACTGCTTCAAAGGCCAACCACAGAATCTGTCCCTCTGTGACACACAAGATGGCACTGTTCAGCTACTTTCTATGAGACGTCAGAGCATGTGCTCACACATATTTCATTTGGGTAAAGAAACCTGAAATCATGGAATACCAACTGAAGTGACCCAGGTTATCACTCCCTGATCAACGTGTTGTTGTAGCTCCTCTCTGTTCTCTGGGTCTGCTGTTTAGGCCATGCATTTCTGCTTGTTAATTATGCATCAAGTGACCAAAAGGTCCTGGCGTGATGCAGCATGTCTGGCATGTGTACCCTGGTATTTGAAGTAGCCCATGCCATGTTGATACTGAGCTGTCAAACAAAAGCAAACACACGCAGGAAGATGAGCTCGGGGAGTTCGGCCTGTTATCAAGCAGGAAGTTTTTAATTCTGTATCATGTAAACTGTGTGTGTTGATCTTGGCACTTGCCGTTACGGCTCATTTCTTGAGATAAGTTGCAGGTTTTATGATCTGTGATAAAGGCTTGGAGGCTGATAAAACAGATACCTCTAAAGTCATTTGAAATATTCACCGACTCCAAGAAGCATTTGTTCATGGGAGACAGATGAGCCAAGTAAACTTTCACTGAGTTTTGCTCTCCCTCCGCAACATTTGAAAAATGTTTCATGCTCTTCTTTGTGGGCAAATCAATTTAGTTGTTCAACGTCACTCGAACTGTAAGTCTGATATAAGCTTCTTTTTTGCTGTATTTTTAAAATTCAATCCATTGCATGTAAAAAGAGTGGCCTCCTTTAACCGAAATGAAATGTGGAAGCAATTTTGGCCAAAGCTGTCTGGCTTTGCTCCAAGACCAGCAGCTGAGAAAGAGCACTCATCCTTCAGTGACGTGAATGAGTGCATCAGTTTCACTCTGGATATCCCTGCTGCCTCCCTTTACCACAGAAGCTCAGTGTGACGTCAGGAGCAGAAGTGGTGAGAAGGAGGAGGGGGGGTCGTTGGCCCTGATGGTACACCACAGCATAGATAGAAAAAAAAATATTCCTTACGCACCAGCAGTCATAAGCAGTAAATCGTATGTTTTACAGCAACATCTGATGTGATGTAATCTGAAAAAATGTAATCTCCAATGATAAATTAACAGAACTCCACCAGTGTTACAGGTCTGCTCCTTTTGGGTAAGAAAACAAATGTCTCATAATCGTAATATAAAGCTGTTAAATATTACATTTAGCAATCCTGAATGTCTCTTTTAAAATTAACTCAGCTTCTATTCCACATTTTAATTCAGGTAAAACATGCGAAACAAGTTGTCATCATTATGAACCCTACAGGACAAGATTTTACCTGAACACTAGGCTACGTGAATCCATTATTAGATCTAAAATATGTCTGTATCGATAAATTCAGAGGCAAACTTAGAGACAAAATGAGAGGATAAAAAAAAAAAAAAGAGTGGGTGGGACTCACCCAAACTTCTCTGTTTCGGTTTGAAAGCAGAGGGTGGGATGAGAGAAAGAAATAGATAAAGAGAGAGAGTGATGCTGGTGCACCAATGGGCCACAGTAGTTCCAACATTATCAGAGGCTCTTTGCCCCATTTGGTGAATCCGCCCATACTAGGAAATGAGGGCTTCCTGTTGTTTTATAGAGCCTTCCTGCAAAAAGGTTGAGATATCTAATTCCTACCCACCAGGGGAGACGGACAGAGCATAGTCAGGCAAAATGACAGTCACCAGATTTGTGTTTTCTGGCTGTTTTGTGACTTTTCTCGTCTGGGGTAAGTAGAGGATTTTTCACTGTCCATTTCATTACTCTTCTCATTGAATGTCTTTGCTTGCCCTCTAGCTCACCCCTTAAGAAGAATTCTTAGAACCTTTCAGTAATTGAGGAGCCTTTAGAAAGGAGCTTAGCCAGTCCCATGATTGAGTTTTACACTTAAACAGTTTGGTTCAAGGGTCAGACAGTGATTTCGATCAACCCGTGACAACAAGTTTATTTTTAAAGCATTTTGTGTTACTTTTATCATCATAAGTTTTTTTTTTTTTTGACAACTTATGCTGTGGTTATTATCTGCTATTGTGTATCGAATAAGACATTTCATTCTTGTACAAAGGGAATAGTCGTAGATATATTTAAACGTTACTGAGCTGAATATATTAAGACTTCCTCAAAGCAGTGGCAGACAAAGGGAGGATGCACTCATGTGCTCACTCCCCACAGCTTACTCCTTGTTATTTCCTTTACCTCCTCTACTTTCACAAGTTCTGGACAAGATTCTTTATAGTTAAAACTGCTTCATAACATTATATGTTAATGATGGGATTTTTGTTGCTTTAGAGGTTTATTCCAGTTATTGTTTGATTTTTTTCCTTGCAGGATGCACAACAGTGGTTTGTCTAGTTGATGAAAAGGCAACAGTGCAACCGACCACAATAATAGGTATGTGTATTTTAAAGACAATAGAGGGAAAAAAACGTAAGCATAACCTGAAACTCTTTGACTAACCTGACATCTGTTGTCTACAGGGTATCACGCAACACAGGCGATGATCACTGGTACGTTTGGGACTTTTTTCTACCACACTTTGTTCTGCTGCAGACTTAACATGTTTGTTTTGTCCTAACAAATTAAAACTGAAAATAGTCAAATATTGATTTAATTCTTCTTAAATAATTCAGCAGAAATACATGGATGCTGTTCAGATTTTTATATATTTTACAGCTCCAAACAGCGATTATATAATTGTGTCCACTGGGGGATTTTTTTGGATCACTTCCTTAAACTTATTTGCTTGGCCTGGAACTGACAAACCCAGAAAGCAGAGCTCAGAGATTCTGTTTTCTGCCAAGATATCTCCTTGTGTGTATCATCATGAGAATCCAAGATAAACTCCCGGGGAGGTCTCTACCAGTGAGGGGTCAAAAGCAGTAGACATGAGGCCCATAATGGTTTGGGGTTGAAGGTTAACTGAAACCTCATTATGAGCAGCCCCCACCTGGCTCAACTTCCTGAATTTGTTCGTCATTCACCCCATGCAACGTCTGTGATCAACGCATGAACTCCGAGTTGTGAAACAACTGGAACTTTGGAGCAGCGCCCCTTTCACTGTTCCTCATCCTGTGCCTTCCCTTTTTTTTTTTTTTTTCTTTCCCCAACTGTCCCCCCTCCTTCCCCTGCCAACTCCCCCCAACTCTGAGCTCCTCCTCTGCTCAAAAGACACATTTCCTGATGTCATTACTAAATCAAAATGCTGCTCGGCAAACAGATGTTGTGAGAGGCCCAATGTGTGGATTCAGCGACATAAATGAACAAGTTGTGAAATGAAAACATGAAGTGTAGATTTAATTTATTCATTCATCTAATTTTTCTTGGAACTCTACTCTCCAAAGTGGTGACATTAGAAACTACCTCATAGATGTATTGTGAGTGCCATGAAATGAAGGTTTCCCACATTAGTAAGCTTTCCTTACTCACATGCATGTGTAAATACAGTTGGCCCTTTAAACAACTTGTCAGTTCTGACTAACAACTTGTTGCAGGTTTGGTCAAATTAACCCAAATATGAAATCATGGCTGTCTGCGCAGCACACCCTGCAGAGTCATGATTACATCCACCCCAAAACGCTAAGCCCTAAATGTTTACTTATGTTTCCTATTTGGCAGAGGCAGCCCAAAAGGCAAATAAATCACATGCTGTGAGCTGGCCAGGCCTTCGACTGTGAGAAACTGAGACTAAAAAGCAGAACAAGAGTTAAAGAGTAAAGGGTTTTCAGATGTGAGTCCAGCCCCAGCTTGGGTGTGCTCCCTTTTATTTGGGAGAATGGAGAGGACAATCTTTGTTGCCTCCACCCCTTTAAAAAAAGGAAGAAAATCTTAAAGAAGCGTGTGTTGGAGAGGGGAAGAGCTGCTGCCAGGGAGCAGGGCCATCAGACAGATCTTCGAAGAACATCTGGTAACCGCGGGTAACATTGTTTGGACATCTGGTAACCGAGGATTACACTGCGTCTCTTCCATCCTGTCGGGTTTCCTGTTATGCCTCGCTGTACACAGTCTAAGAAGTTTAGGTGTGTTATACATGGTCATCAGCTGGGGGAAACACACCTTTATTCTTTTTTTCTGACATGAAGGGAGCACTTGGTTTCATTGGGGTATTCCTCTCCTTTCTCTCCGGTGAGTGTGTGGTCTCCCTCTCTCGCAGCTGCAAATGTCTGCCTCAGCACTAGAAACGTAAAAAGAAGTCATGGGCTACAAAAGGCAAAAAAAAACTCTCATTGTATTTAAATTTGCTAGGATGCATTTGTTCTTTAATGAATTAGAAAAAGTTTGCATGGCAGATTGAAAAAGGGTTTATGTTGACTTAAACTGCCAGTAGCCCACATCAGTGTTTAATGTGCATGTTTTTAATCTAAAAATCCTGTTTTTCCTCCTTTTTAGATGCCACTGGACAGTCTACCATTTCAGCTGGTAGGTGACATAACCTTACAGACATGCTCAGCCATACAGTGTCATATATCATTCTGTATGGAAATAGTCTTCAGGATTTGAATGTAGCTCTTTGAACAAACTCATTTTTATTGTCATGTTCTAACTTGCCTCTCTCTGCATCTTTCTTTTGTTGACTCATTGTCTTCTGCTCCACTTCATGAAGCCTGTGGAAATAGTTCTTCTAAATGTAGCGATTTGTGCGACGTCTGTCATCATTATTTTTACGGTCAACGGATGGAATGCCTCTCCAGCCTGTTTCAACATCTATGTCTGTCCAATTTTGAGGCTTCAATGGCATTATTAAACAGCAGTGACTGGTGCATTTGGGGTAATGTGAACAGGTAAATCATTTGCATTCATACTTATGTATAGTTTATTATTTTTAGTATGAAAAACACTGCCTGATATTTGCACATTTCTAAATCAGCGTCCACATTTTCCCTGTCTGCAGTTTCTATAGCAGCATGAGCAATTGTACGGAGGATATATCTGACTGTCTCCTCATCCCATGGCCCAACCCTCTGGTGGAAATGACCTTTGTGGAGATTCACTCCAAATTCTTCAGGGATTGTCCCACAGAAGAGCTGAGCGATCCACCACCAGCCATCATCTTGGCCCTGGTGATCACTCCCATCTGCCTGATCCCCATCATGGTTAGCCTGGTGGTGCTCAAGACTAAAAATGGGGACGGCAGCTCCTGATAATCCAGAATCTCTGCTCTAAAATGGACCTGCTCTCCCTTCTTTCTTGGCCTGAGGACTGCTTGTTTACACATAGACCACTGCTGCGCTTTTTATCTCTACCAGTGACCTTGCAGAGGACTGGATCTTTCTGGCAGGTTTACCTGCACTTCACAGCTCAGAAGAATTTCGAATTGGTCCGCCACAGAGGCAAACGCATTGAGAGACAACACCAATTTAGAGTTAATGTTCTGTGACAACACAATTATTGCTGTTTAACGACAAATGTCTCGATGTTAATGGAAACTCAGTGTACTATACTGTATCTCGTTACCGCTTTAGGGAAATGACTGTGATGAAAGTTTTGTTTTCAACCCCTTGACTGGAGACCTGACCAATGATTAAAGTATTGTTCACTTCTAGTTTGCACACAATAATCAGAAAACAGAGCTTCGTTCATACTGGAGAACCCAGTATTCAGGGTTATGAAGACAAAAGCTCTGGAGCTTGCAAAAAGTAAAGGCAAAATACTGTATATTCGTGTTGACACTACACACTATGTAGGACACAAGACAAGGTAATTTTTTTAAATTGCTGGACTTCAAACTTTTTGTATGTAACTCTTTTTTTTTGCTGCTCAAATTTAACTTTCCTCTGAGTGAAAAACGATATGGATGGATACAACATGTGCAAGCTCAACTGTTTTTTAAGCCTGAATTAGATTAACGTGTCCATGTTTGATCTGGGACAAGGGTCCTTCAAGTGTGTGTAGGGAGGACAGGAAAATATATTGAGTCTAATGCATGGATCTGGTTATGTGAGTCATAGCATATGGGAGGTTTGGGGTCAGAGGTTACAGATGGGACACAATGAATGGGTGTGCCCAGAAAAGGAGATCTCCTGGTATTGTCTATTTTTGAACAAGACATCTTTCAGCTCTTTCCCCTGTCCAAACCCTTGTATCGTTGCATCATCTTATAATGATAAAGTAATTGAAGGAAAGTTTATCTCCGTCTAGACAGAAGACATTTAAATTGTCTGTGCAGCATAGTGATAAACACTGAGCAATGACAAAAAGATAAGTGTTATCTTTTGCCTGAATCATGCTAATGTGGATATGTATTGTTCAGTTTTGACGACGAAGCCATTGTAAGTGCTTTTAGATTGGGAACAAAATGCGTATTTATATACTTTGTTATATTTCTGCTATTGTCCGGATGTACTGTACAGTCTGAGAGAATACGTCCTGCCTGCTCTCATACCATGTACTGTATGCATTTTTATATACTTTTAAAAAAATATTTTAAACCATTAAATCTACAGGATTGTTGGCTGTCGCTTAATCTTTTGCTCATCTGGACAGTCCAGTAAATGATTGCAGAAACTCCCACAGACATGAAAGAGGCAGCTTGTATTAAGTCCAGCTCATGTTCAGGCGGCATCATTGTGGTGAGAGTACCCTTTCACCTTTGTCAGTATCTGATCAAGCACTCCCTTCCCTCGAGTGTAGGGCAGATGGCATTGCTTGTAGCCTCAGGTAGTGTTTCACTGTGTCTTTGGTGAGAAGTATATTGTGGTGCAGTTGCTATGCTGCGCAAGTGCTGATGTAGTGAAGGAAGCAATGACAGCAGTCATGTATCACACCCTCATCTGGCACACACAACACTGCAGGGTGGGCTTGCGTTTGTGTGTGTGTGTGTGTGTTTGTGTGAGTCTGGCAGGGCTGGGTGGGAAAGTGTGTTCGGTGACCTTCTTCCTCTCTGGATGTCGGGTCATCCTCGTCCCCACCCCCGTCTGATCTCATCCAATTTTGTGTTACTCCTTATTGTTACAACAAACCAGACACCGTTTCTGATGCCGTTATGCAAGATGCGATTGTGCAAACAATATTAATCGTGTTTTATCAGTCGCATTACATCAGTTGTCCAAAAAAAATAAAAAATACATTAAGTGTGCATATTCCTCTCAGAAGACAAGTAGTGAAGGTCAATATCCAGGACATGGGAGTTGTGAAGTGTCTTCAGTTGGGAAACTTTGCCCTCTAGTGGCTTCAGGTGATACAGGGACAAAGCGATTTATGAACAGCAAGTTTTAAAGACCAGCACGTCAGCACTACAACAAATGTTTTAAGAACTTTTAAAAAATAACTAAAAATCAAGCCTTTCTCCGAGCAACACTTGTGTCAACGTGGCTGCTGTTTGTCTTTGCATACAGACAAACGTGTGAAATCTATAGAGGGAGAAAAAGCGGCTGGCGTTTCGGTTGGGCTTTCAAGGAAGGACAGGAAACTAAAAAATTGAGAAACTTGTATGTACATCAAGTCATTTTTGACTTTAGGCTTATAATGAAAATAAAATCTGTGATAATTCTCTGCTGGGTCTGGAGTTTTTTGTTTTTAAAATGGTTACTAAACTTTTTGATGGAGCTTAAATTTATATGCCAATCATTCTGAATCTAAAAATATTTGTTGTGCCTGTGTGTTCAAATTTGACCAAGTAGAACTCCGAGAAGAAGTAGAAAGTGGCTTAGCTGCCTCCATGAACTTTGTTTCAAAGCCTCTCAGCTCCAGCTTGTTGGTGGTATCTTTGGTGCAATCATGCATCTGATGTTTAATACGGACACAAATACTAACGAAAGAGACATATTTCCAAAAGCACTTTGAAAATATATCATTTGTGACATCTGACGGTGTCATGTCAGTTACTGTAGAAACTTAGAATACATAATGTCACGTTTGAATAAATCCAGGCATCTTGTAGTTGTTTAATGAAGTATGCTATCACCAGGACTCGTTCAAAGTAGTATATGAGGCCAGCAGGTTAATCTCCAACCTCCCAGCTATGCTTACACACAATTACATAACATGCCCAGATGCCTTAACTTGTATAAATCAGCTGATCTGGATGCAATCCCATGGGCCTCAGTTTCAAGGATCTGCGTTGACGCTGAAGTGGGCTGACTTGATGCTGTGGGGCTGGAATTACTCTGAAATGTATCGGGGAACATGTCAGCAGCCCTACAGAAATATTCTGTTATGTAAAATCTGGCAGAGTTAGGTTTGATTGACGTATTCGCAACTTTGGAGACAGTGCAATCAGGAATGCTTCTGAAATTCAGAGTAAAATATTGCTGCATGTGTGATTACTGTAAGCTTAAAATACTGACATATCAACAACTGAAAGTAATAACAAATACTCATAAATATATTACATTTATATTTTGTTTTCCATGCCAGTTTCCAGTGGATTACAAAAGCGCCACAGTTATATATCATCTTAAAAGTAACTCATGAGTGCATAGTTGCAAGATGAAAAATCTAATTTACTGATGAATACATGTATTTACGTTGCAAACATTATTTTGATAAGTTAGGTGGACACAATAATGTTGGTAGTTGTGTCAACAGAATATTGTGTGTAATTTGAACTCAAATATCTGCATTCCTTATCTGTATACCATTAATTAGGGTCCAAGCACCCAAAAGGGTGCGAAGACCCTATTGGAACTGCTCGGATTATTATTATTATTATTATTATTATTAGGGTCCGAGCACCAAAAGGGTGCGAAGACCCTATTGGAACTGCTCGGATTATTATTATTATTCGGCCTGAAATTTTACACGCGTGCTCCGAGTCTCAGCCAGAGCGCGTTTCCACCCCGGCCAACACGCACACTGCCGCGGCTCGCC